TCATAGACTGGGCCAGGGAGCAGGCAAGGTCTGACCTCGAGAGTAAGAGGGGAAGGTGGGAAGGAAAGCCTAGAAATTGTGGGAGGGAGGAGAAATGACGTGTGAGTGGAGCTCACACCGGACCCTCACTGGTCTGAGGTCTCCAGAGATGAGCACGTGCCCTCACCATAGCCATGCCGTCTCACCAGGCAAGGTTGGTTGACAGATGAATGAACAAACAGGAGCTCCTTCCCCTCCATCTGCAGCAAGAATGCCCCAGCCCCAGACGCCTCCCCAGACGGCCTCAGGCTCCATGCCCCTTGGAGCCCTCTGTTCAAACCAAGTTGGAGCCCGGCAGCGCCGTCCGCCCGGGCCTCTCCCTGAAGGTTCCTGGAGTTCGGGAGCCTTGGCGCCTGTACCCGTGGCCTGATGGGCACGCGATACTTGCTTGTTGAATGAGAAACAAATGACTGAAGGTGGGAGAAGGATCGGGTGCTCTTCTTTAATCCAGGTTCAGGCCTGTTGGTGTTGACTGTTCTTGGGAGGCATGTCCATGGGGAATACAGGCCCCCGAGGACGCAGATGTGACTTCTCTCCAGGAGAGGTGAACGGTGAAGCTACGGCAGGAACATACAAGGAAGTGTGTAGTAGAGAGAAGGGAGACTTGGGACATGGAGGTTAAAGGACACTCTGCGTCGCTTACACAGGGGCTGTAGTCAGCACAAAGAGCCAGGAGCACCTGCAAAAAGTCTGATTCTTGTGGACTAAGTCCATCATTTGCTTAACAAAATGGTAGACAAGTGAAATCGGCTACTGTTTAGGTCAGCGGTTCTCAACCTGTGGGTTGCGACCCCTTTGGCGGTGGAACGACCCTTTCACAGGGGTCGCCTAAGACCGTCCTGCATATCAGATATTTACATGACGATTCATCACAGTAGCAACATGGCAGTTATGAAGTAGCAACGCAAATCATTTCATGGTTGGGTCGCAACATGAGGAACTGTATTTAAAGGGCCAGAAGGTTGAGAACCACTGGTTTAGGTGAACAAGTGGAGGGTTCAGTCGGTGAAAATTAGGCTTCGTTGCCATCGGTTAAACGATGTCTACTTTAGATGGAGACCATTGGTGAGCCCTTTTCTCTGAGGCAACTCCAAGTCCCTCCCAGCTGTGATCTGCCCTTCACCCATTTATTCAGCATTTATTGAGCACTGGTTACATACTAGAGCTCGTGTTTTAAATGGCACCAAAAAATTATTGGGCTATCATATCTGTATCCTCACAGAATCCGTGTTTTGGGATCCCGCCTCTTGCTGAGCCCTGGGACATAACTAGGGACTGCGTGGAACTTGGGAGCTGGAGTCTGTGGGCATGGCCGCATACCCCACTTTCCTGTCTGGCTCCCAGGCACTCTGTGGGACCTCGGTAACAGTGGCTTCCACTAGTAGAGCCTCCCATTGGCTGCCTGCAGTGACGGGGGAGTTTGGGTAGGGGGACTGAAGGGCCCAGGGCCTGTCACAGAGGCCGAGTGAATTCATTTTTTTTTAAATTTTGTTTTATTGCTTAAAGTATTACAAAGAGTATTACATATGTCTCCTTTTTCCCCCCCCTTGACATTCCCCCGGCCTCCCCTACCCCGCAGTGCCTTGTGTCCATTGGTTATTCTTATTTGCATGCA